GGCGACCAATGTACCAGAAATGGCCTATTGCAACTGGGGCGACCATGGGGAGATGGTGAGTTGGTGCACTTAGGGGGCATAATATCAATGCGCTCAGGTCTTGGTTGATAGAACATATTAAGCACCACTTGGCTGTTTTTTTTGGGGTCTGCGCTGCATGCAGAATATGGCTTTGCCGGAAAATGGCGTAGCTCAACTCCCATGCCGCTGGTGCAGCTGGTTGGATTGCGGTTGTGCCGTACTCGTACCACTTTCTGGCTGGTTGTCAAGACATGCTTATATTGGGACAATGATCCGCAAAAGTGCCTTTCATATTCTTTTGGAATCTTTTGGATAGGGTTGAGACATGTTGAACACATGGGGTAATTTTTTTTGCGTATATTTGGGATGTAATTGGGATATCACTGCTGAATTGAAACCAGACAACCTTACAATTGCCTCTTGATTTTACAGAATTGAAATTTGAAGGTGTAGAATTGCCATTTAATTTAGGCGAAACTGATCAGAAACAAGTGATCATCAACTCCTGATTGGTGGTTTGGAACATTTTTTATTTTTCCATATATTGGGAATGTCATCATCCCAGCTGACGAACTCCATCATTTATCAGAGGGGTAGGTAGCCCCCACCAACCAGAACTGGTGTTTCATCGCCAGGTATCGTCATTGCTTTCCGCTCATTGATCACCTCATCAACCCTCATCAGCACGGTCAGCAATCTCATGGCTGGGCTCAGCAAGATCAAGGACGACGATTTGGGCCCCAAATCATCCAGTGAACGACCAAAGCTGGTTGGTGGTGACTGGAACATGGCTTTTATGACTTTCCATATAGGAAGAATCCCAACTGACTCATATTTTTATATATTTTTCAAGATGGTTAAAACCACCAAGCAGTATTGTATTGAAACAACCATGCTGACGACCAAACTACCCTCTGGTAAACTAACAGTTTGCTATGGAAAATTACCATCTATAATGGGTAAATCAACGAACTTTCTATGGTCATGTTCCAGTTCGCAAACCGTCAAATTACCAGAGGGTATATGGTATTGAAACAACCATGGTGACTTGGGGATCCCGCAATTTAGGACACCACCATTGAACACATGGCAGCTATGGGTGCCATTATGTCGTCTTTCCGATACACAAAATTGTGCACCATATAGAAAAACCATGAAAAACCCAACGAAACCATTTACATAAGTCAACCCTTCAAAGCATTTAGGTTATTTTAAGTTAACGCCAGCCAGGTTCCCTGTTTCCTGTCGAGGAAGATGAAAACACCGAGTTCCGCTTGTTGCGCGCCTACATGACGCAGAATAAGATCCCGGCTGAGCTCGGGCAAAAAATCACGCAGTTCCTGCAGTACCAATACACCTTGCGACAGGAAGCCAGGCGAACACCTGGGGATGTCGTCGTGATGTCAGTGGTTCGATCCGCGAGTGTCGTGCATGTCGTTGCGCCATGTTTGAACCGGGAATTCTTTGGAAATGGCAAGGTGAATTGGGAAATATCGGGAAGTGAGTTCTGATGTGGGCTACAATTTTACATGTTTTGAGGGCAAGCAGTGTTAACATACAGCAACTTGATTCAGTTGATGGCCATGGAATCTGTCCTTAAAGAAGTAAGTGGATAAAGTAATTAATCAATGAGGTGCTTAGCCGGGAATGAGGGAATGATCCATAATCACTAGTAATAATCATCCCATTCCCCCAGTCCCATCCATTCCCTACTAAGCACCAGCAAGTCTATGTATTTAAAAGTTGTCTTCAAACCACTAAGCCCAAGTTGGGCCAGAGCCAGCCTTCCTGGTCCAAAGCAGTAGCTTTGGCGTGGTTGGCTTGGCGTGTTGAAACAAGCTGCCACATTCATTGAGATATCCTCTGGTAAACCTACCAAAAACTATATGGAACATCATTTTTTATGGGTAAATCAACTATTTCTATGGCCATGTTCCAGTTCGCAAACTGTAAACGTTTACCAGAGGGTAAATCCACCATAAAACCCATGAAAGTCATGAAAGTCCATAAAAATCATTGAGATAAAACAGCCAGCCGATGGTAACCAATGATTCTATATGAATTTATTGATTTACGTTGGTCGTGTGGATGGGTGCTTCCGGAGACAGTCAAACTACGCTGATGGGATGCTGTGGGATGATGAAAACAAGCATCACTGGATCGAAAGGGAAAACCCTACAGGTTTTACCATGGTTTTACCATCAAATTTACCATCAAATAGATGTTTTTCCGGTGTTTGTTATGGACATGAAATACCATTAGAATCCATTAGACATGTTAGCCCTGCACAGGTCAGCGGACATGGATGTGCCTTTGTTGGAGATGTTATCTCCACAATTGCAGGGGGAGCTGCTGCTTGGACAAAAAACTGTCCGCAACCAGCGATTTTGAGACCGCCACAACCATCTGTACAAAAAATATCAAAGGTCATCTATAGATATCTGTGGATATAGGAGTGGAGATGGTGATGGAGAGAGATCTATAGATATCTATAGCAAACAATAGTGCCAAACAATTTTTGGACGGATTTTTGGGATTTCTCTCCGAGACTCTCTCTGTGAGATGGATGTATTGTTGGCATTGTCCTGGACCTCAGGCAGTTTGCGCGCTTTCAGACAGACCTCTGCAAACTGCAGGCGCGGCTACATCAACGGTCCCCAGATGCGCCCGTTGATGTCGTTGTGAAAAGTTGCGCATGTTGCGGCGCTTCAGATCTGAATAGATAAACTAAAGAGTTTCACTGGGCTGGAAGCTGAAGTGATTTTTCTGCAGGTTGTAGCCGAGTTGCTGGAAACTGCGGACCGGCAGGTGCTGCGAATTGTGTTTTTGGGATGGCTTCAAGACATCGTCATTCAATGCTCACTTGGATGAGTACCCATCCTCAAGCAAAATAAGCAAAGCAATGCAGCAATTCACCTACACCTTTACTTTGCGTGTTGTGTGCATTTTTATGGAATCCTCTGGAATTTCCAACCATGGGATTTCTCAACGTTTTTCACGTGTCGACGTCGACCTTGTAACCAGGTGATTCACGTCTTGCACCGCGTTTCTCAAGATGCCGTGAAGAATTACATCGTGGCCGCGGCGGATGTCATTTTCCTGGCTGGCAATCCTGCCAATTTCGCATTCCTGATGCTCGCTCGCAACGGAAAGTCTACCCGTAGGAGTCCGGCGCAGCCAGAAGACGCGCTGATAAGATAAAAGCGGGGAACGTGATTCAGATTCATGATGATTCATGATTAATTGGTGAGTAGATATCCTCCATTGTTGAGTCAAAACCGCAATGTCATTTCCTGATTTAACTTTGATACGGTTAGATACACCACCAGAAGCCCTGTTGTAGTATAAGATATATAGTTAATTAATGTGGTAAACCCAATGATAAACCACCCCCAAAATCATCATCAATGGGTGCTATTAAACCATCCCCATTCATGGTAGGTTCATGGCAGCCAGGGTTTCGCACATTGGATTTGTTCATCATTGGGACATATCACGGGGCGGGATGGGATGTTCCATGTCCCATGAAGGATGCCGATGTCGAGAAGCGCTTTTTCTGGCCTCCAGTAATTGAAGAGTCTGTGAACTGGGTAAATCACCATTTAATAGGTAAATCAGCATTTTTCATGGGTAAATCACCATTTATAGCTGGGTAAATCACCATTTAATAGGTAAATGAGCATTTTTCATGGGTAAATCACCATTTATAGCTGGGTAAATCACCATTTAATAGGTAAATGAGCATTTTTCATGGGTAAATCACCATTGATAGCTGGGTAAATCACCATTTAATAGGTAAATCATCTAGAAACATGCCATTTTCTGAACCATTTTCCATGCATCAAAGCTGGCAAGGGAAAATCCATCGTTGTTTGTCCATTTGCAAATGATTCTGATGGTGCAGAACCATTGTGGTACCCACAGCGCCCCAGATTTTCGTGAGATGGGGTGTTGGTCTCTCATTTCTGTGGGTCCAATGCAATTTCTTCAAGCTATGCCGGTGGCGAGGCATTTGGCACAAGCTTTAGCTTTGCTACAGCATCAGAAATTTCAGCGGTTGATTTCCTGCCAGCCCCTGATTGAACCGTTGACCTCCCCACCTTGACCATTTTTCAAGTTGCCACATGTTGACATGGACAAAGTGCCCACTTTCACTTTGTCTCGCTGACATGTTCTTTCTACAAAGCAATTTTTATACCATCATTTGAGCCATGGAAATGAAGCAGTCAGACTCACAAGAAACTCCACCTGGGCAAGAGCCTGCTCCATCCATGCCATCTACATCCAATGAGCTATCACCAGAAGAGTTGGGACACATTCGACGACATCGACAATCCCGAAGACGAAGGCTCGTACTGAACCAGCTTGGGATGAATTCCTTGGCTCCATTGCTGCAAAGGACTTCGAGATCTCTGATCTTGACTTTGGACTCCAACAGGAACTTCGATCATCTCGGCAAGCAAGCCTCAACTCATCTCAACTCCACTACACCAGATACATTGCACTTTGACCCGGAGCAGGGTAACCTCACCAAGCAGCGACCTTTCACAGATACTCACCTCATTGAACCTCCAACACTAGAAGTTCAAGAAGCTCAAATCAAAGATGCCATGCTGCAGCACCATTAGGCCACATTTCCCCCGACCAATTGATGGATCGCAACCTCCACGTGGGCGAGCCGCGGGCACTTACACTCGGCCGCATTTCAGAGCCTCATTTTGATACTTGGTTGGGCAAATCACACGGTACTGGCACTGAGTGCGGTTTCTCACTTCATGACATGTGATAGTTGAATGCAGTGAATGAACAAAGCGATGCGCGACGCGGTCTGCGGATTATTAAGACACAGGGAGCACGAGTGTATGCTAATCCCTCCCCGACGTTTTTTGAGTCGGGAGTCTCTTGTGACGTTGATGCTGTGGTAATTTTTAGGGTCTTGTTTTAGGTATAGGCAGGAGCGGAATTGATCCATCACGCCGTCTGGCCCAAACCTTGGGGCGGTTGGGTTTCGCTGTTCTGTACGGTGGAACTCTCCCTGGGGCGTACGGGCTAGATCGGAACGGGTGTTAACCGTGTGGTCGGCGGTTAATTACCTCGGGTTTTCTTACTCGGTTTTCCCTAGGTGGTTTCAGACCCAAAGGTACCGGCACTGGTACAATTTGGTGTGTTCGAGGGCGGATCTAGTGTACGCACGTGGAAAGGTTGGTACATTGTCCTAGGGCGGGGGATCCGTGTCGGGTTCGGGTTTTCTTTGCTCTCCATTCTCCTCTTGTGTGACCGTACGCACTGCCGGTATGTTGTATCGACGGGAAAAACTCAAAACTCTCACTGCCCTGTGGAAATGTCAACGTGCACTAAGGCAACGGCCGCACAAACATGCGGTTCGGTCACTAGGTCGAAAGGTGGTTCGGGTCCGTAAAAAGGTCGCAGCAGCTAAACAGCAACGCACCAGACATATTCGGGCCCGTTTTCATCAACGAACTAAAGAGCAGCGCGCATGGCAACGGCAATGGAGATTGGCCACCTGGAATACGCGTGGGCTGGGTGCAGTTTCTGGATATATCAATCAAGAATTGAAAATCCAATGTTTTTTATCGCGTATGGTTGTTCAGCGTTGGGGGTTGGTCACTCTGACTGATCTGTCTTTCCGAGAGGACGGGGTACGAACGTATCGTTGTCGTGGTAGTACATGGTACCTAGTGGTTAGACAGAAAGTGGGATTTCTCATGTCAGAGGTATGGTGGAATTGGTGGCAGTCGGGTGGAGCTGTAGTCTATCAGAAATCTTATCGCATTGCAGCTCTTTCTTTTCCCCGTGTTGGTTGGCGTCGAGGGCTGTTTGTGGTCGGTGTTTATGCCCCTACGAGTTCGTCAGGCAAAGAGGAACGGAATACCTTGAGAAACGATTTAGACCTTGTGTTGGAGTTCACCCCTGCCACTAGTCTAACTGTTATTATGGGAGACTTTAACGCAGAAATGGGTAACAATGTCGATCATTCTATTGGTGGATGGGATGTGATGGGACGGTTTTCGGCCCCAAAGATTACTACACCGGGTCAAGAACGGCGAGATTGGTGCTCCAGACAGGGTTTTCGCGATGTGGCAAGCAGGTTTCAATGTCGTAACCGCGTTTCCTGGGTACATCCACGATTTCTCTCCCACCACGAATTAGACCATGTGTTTGTTAAAGGCAGTGATGTTTGGCATTTGCAGCAGTGTCGATTTTTAGTGGAAGGGCCCAATGTGGAATTCCCGTGGTCCCCATATACAGATCACAACCCGGTCGAATTGATCCTCAAAATTGGCAAGCAATGGTGTCCCTCGATGTCTTTTGAAGCCCGAACCCAAACCCCGGACATCGCTCGTATGCGGGGCACTACCCCGGAAGCAACTGCGTTAAGACGGGAATGGATGGACAAAGTTGAAACCAGATTGCAGAGCCTCATGGATCAACCGCATTGGGAAACCATATGCCAAATATGTCGTGGGGTAGCATTGGAAGTGTGTGGTATTCTTAAGTTACATAAGGGGGCCCCCTGGTTGCGCTACCATGGAAATGTCATTAAGCAACTTGATCAAGCCATTCGCCAAGCACAAGAGGCTGATAGACAGGCTAGGCACACAGGAGATCCACAACGCATGCAACAATGTCGTAGACAACTCAACACAGCCCGGCGGGTCAAATTACAACAAATTCGAACGTGGGAAACCGAATGGTTGTCCCAGAAGGCGGAAGAGGCCAATCGGACTCTGGACACCCCGGCCGCCACAAATATTTTTCAACTTGTCAAGGAGCTCATCTCAGCAGTAGGTAAAGGGTCCAGAGATGGAGGCCAGGCCCATGCAGGTAGTCCGGCAGAGGTCGAAGCTTGGAAAGACCACTTTCAAGCCATTCAGCAAGGAATAGGTGAGGTTGATGATAGTATTTGGCCTGACATTAGTCAACGCCCAATCGATACCAGTTTGGATGACCCCCCTTCATGGGAAGAGTTTCTTCGGGCCATTAAAGAAATGCGTTTAGGCAAAGCAGGCGGCGAAGACACCATGCTAGCGGAATACATCAAGTTTGGGGGCCCCCAACTCCGTAAGGAGGTGTACCGTATTGTACAGGAATGTTGGCAGTCGGCTACCACCGCACCACCTGGGAAGGAAGCAGAAAGTTGGCCTACTGAATGGAAGGTCGGCATTACTGTGCCCCTTTGGAAACGCAAACAACCAAGGTCTAATAAACACAATTGGCGTGGTATCACCTTGTTGTCGGTTGGTAGCAAGTTGGTAGCTAGAATTTGTGCAGCACGCCTCCAGCGATGGAGTCAACCATGGTTGAACTCGTGTCAGTTTGGTTTCAAAGCCGGATCAGGAGTGGACGATGTACACCAGGTTACCCGTAGGTTGTTGGAGGAAGCAGCCCAATCGGTTCACCCACACACCATAATGTTCAAATTCTTCGATTTAGAGAAAGCGTATCCCAAGGTGCCTCGACACGCGCTTTGGAAAATCTTGGAGCTCAAGGGATGTCCCCCACTTTTTCGAAAGGTGTTACAGGCAATCCATAATGGGACTCACACCAAAATTCGTTTTCAAGGTTTTGTTTCTACCAGTTTTGTACCCGACCCGGGGCTCCGGGAGGGATGTCCGTCTTCCCCTATCATGTTCAACTTGTTCCATGACTCGCTAATGGAAGTGTACCGTGTACGTCGTTTACGTGTCGCTACTGCGCATGAGTGCCAACCAGGTATCAGCATTACATATAAAGTTGATGGTCGCATCGCTAAGAGACGCGGGGACAGAAATGAAGAAGGTAGGAATATTAAAATGAGTCGCATTGGGGATTTTGCGTATGCAGACGATACTGCAATTATCGGGGATGCGGAAGAAATCAGGCATGCCGAACCCCTTTTCGTGAATACAGTTTCACATTTCGCAGGTCGGGTTAACGAGCACAAAACAGAAGGATTGAGGGTCTGTGACACGGCACACGCACCATATGATGTACAAGGTCCAGGTGAAGCATCCACAGTCAAACATGTCGGTGCCATACTAGCGGAACGCGCCGGCCACACAGCTGACACAGATCGCGCAGTGCGTCAAGGGGTACAACGGGTCGAACAGGTTGCGTCTGCATGGTCTAG